CTCACTATTGAAGCAAAGGCATTAAATTGCAGATTTTTGACTTCTTTAGTTCCGGATTTGTAGTCTCAGCCAGGTCTTAGGCCAGACGCGAGGAAAATTTAAAATCCGATCCCCCGCGAAACAATTTTAAATAATGAGAGGCAAACAAGCACAGCAACTGTGCGTTTTGCGCGGTTTCGTGTAGCAGCAGGGTTTGCAATAGTATTAGTAATTGCTGTTTTGAAGTTCGTCAGGTGAAGTCATGCTGAAAATGTTCTTGCTGGTTTTTTTTTAAACCAATGTATTTCACCGGTACCTGTCCTAAGCTACACCTAATCATGAATAATCCAAGTGGAAGAATTTCCAAGTTCTTTGGATCAATTTACCACTTATTCGATTCTCTTAGTGTGCATCAATTCGAAGATGAATTTTTATCCATCAGGTAATACATAACACACCACAATTCGGATGTGGAAAACGAAACAACAACAAATGGAACAGGCCAGTACAACAAAAATACATCCGATGGTGGCTGCCAATACTGAAGAAAAAATTTACATCAGCCACAATGAAAGAAATTACTTCTTGGATTAAGTCAGAGAGCTCAGTGTGACCTTGCATCTGGCAGTTCTTCCAGTTGCTTTACTAGAAATCTAAAAGCGTCAAATGAACCAATGGATGCTGGAAATGATGTGATTTGCTCTGACCTGTTAACACTTCTGCGACAATTTTACACATGTCCCACTACGTGAATACCAGTAGAACTATTACTAAGTCCCACCCCGCCTCTTCTTTCCGATTATTTAGTCCTGCATCACCCACCAGATTTGTTACTTCTCGGTGCTCAGATGCAGGCCATGAGACAGAAATAAATCCGCATTCGACCGAAAAACTCGATATCTGGCGATTTAATATTTTTGGTCCCAAGTCCAAATCAGCATTTAGGCAATACTTTCGTGTCTACCATGTCTGTTTGTCAAACGCATCCTTGGCCGTCGTAAGCTAGCACAACAGTAGAACCGTTTGCGCTGCCGTACTTTGTTTTTCCAAAACACACTGCCATTACTGAGTGGATATTTCTCCGATAAAAAGGGTGAAGCAGGAACGGGGCGGGTAAAATCAGAAAAAAAGCAAGTTTAAAAGAAGGCCAGATTCATAGCAGTAAATGGAGAATGTGAAGAATGCGGGTTCTCTCTGGCCTGATCAGTCGTCTTGAGCTCATTATATCAATATCATTGTTACTA